CCCTCGTGGCAACCGCGCAGGAAGTCGCGCGTTACAGAAAGTGGTTCGTCACATATGTGACGCCCAGGGGGTTCCAATATTAGCAAGCTCCTGCTTGCTTGTTGACATGTGTCGATTTCTCTAATCGATCGACACGAGGAGCACTTCTCTTTATGCCACTTACCGTTCGATTGCGTGCGGACGTCATCCAACGTGGCAACTTTGCTATTCTACTACTTCCTCAGATTGGGCTCTCGACGGTCCAAGGACGGGATTTTTCTCATGCCGTTACCGCGACACGCATCCATTACCGGTTGCATCAGTAATTAACTGGAAGGGGAAAAGGGAGCCGGTGCATGGCGGCATGGCGGGGTGGAGGGCTTAGGGTTAGCGGGGGCAGGAACCTTTCCATCCCGGCTGCAGATTCTAGAAGCGCTTGGAAGCGGACGATGCGGTGGAAGCTGGGGAAACGGTTGCCAGTGCGAGGGAGGGACGCGAGGTAATCAGGATAGAGGGTGGTGAGAGTTCGGAAAAGTGCCGCGCGGAAACGATCGCGATCTTCGCAGGCGGGGATGGTCCCCGTTACTATGCAATAAACCTCGATCATATTGTGGCCTCGCCACGCGGCACTAAGAAGCAAAACATGGAGGCAAAAGGTTGGGACGGCGCACTGAATGGAGGGGTGGGGGTGCACTTCTATAGCGAGGCGAGCAGCATAGAAGTGGCGGAAGGTATCGCGGGGAAACGGGTTGGAGGGGAACGTGATGGGGGTGGTGAGCTGGCAGAGGGTGAGGTGGTCAAGAGGACGGCGAGAGAGTAATCGGGGACGAAGGCCGATCGCCCGTATCGGTACGTCGGCGAACTGGGGGACGTGTTGGGGAGGAGGGGGATCGGCTCCGTCGCCACGTTGATGGGGTCAGAGTCGTGGCCGTGAGGTCGCCATGTTCTGGTCGGGGCGGCTCCGGATCTTGGTTTGGGTCGTCGTGGACGTGCAAGCTTGCCCCGCTCACAAACTCTAGTTGCCTCTTCCCGGCCGCGGTTTCTTCTCTTTTGCGGGCCGCCTCCGGATCTTCAGCCTCTGTGCCCATGCGCAGCGCTTCTTCCGGCACAGCTTCCCACTCCGATTCCGCAGGTCCTTCTTCGTTCTCCTCTTCTCCTTCGTCGTCTTCTTCTTCTTCTTCGCTCTGCTCCCCCTCGCTATGCTTGCTATAGCTTCCTTCTTCGGGGGTTTCGTCCTCTTCCCCGAGTACTTCGTCGCTTTTCCCACTTTCTTCCCGCTCGTCTTCCCCTTCGTCACTCTCAGTGCTTTCTTCCTCCTCTTCTTCCTCTTGAATGGCAGCAAGCTGATCTGCCATTGGATGCTTGAAAAAGGCAGGATCACAAACCGTCCGGGGATCCAAATACTGCTGCTGCGACGACGGGATGCGCTCTACGGCTCCCTCCACACAAGCCGACCACTGGAGATACAGCGTCAACGTGCGAGAAAGCACACGAGGAATCGGGTGCTAGTCGTCTTGCGAGATGATGTCGAGAGGGAGATCGTCCACCAGCTGCGCTACCGGGATCGCGAGCTCTTGCACGATGAGTTTCTGATGTCCGGGTCGTACTGTACCGAACAGAAACGCGAGGAGTTCTCCCTCCACGTTGGTTCGCCAAGCCTGGATGAACAACAACTCCATGCGCTCTATGCAAGGCGGGCGCGCCTCGTCCTCGGTCCACGTCAACCGTACCTCAACCAAACACAGTGAAAGCTCGACGAAGTCTTAGCGCCCTAGTTCCCTGTGTGGGGGATGAATGTCGGGGACAACAAGGGTCGTTAGATAGTAGGAAAGGCGAGGATGGATATCGGACTGCTAGAAGGTAGGGAAGGTGGAGGGGAGATCAAAAACGGAGATCGGAGAGAGACTCATTGGGGGCGAGGGAAGGGAACAACAACAGGGAGAACCGCCGGCGGATCACGCTGGTACATCAGAAGGCCGTCGTATTCGATCGCTTGTGTCGGCGCGACCCTGTCCCCGGGGCCAGCCAAAAGCTGGGTCCACTCGGCGACCAGATCGTTTGCCCACGCGCGCAACGATGTCCTCACCGTCGTATGTTGTAAAGGGAGGAGCGTGGAGAGATCGCCACGGAAGTTGATGACGACCGATATGCGGTTGACACCTGGCACCGCTCGCTGATGAACTGCTACTGCCTCGACCAGTACCACTGCGTTGGGCCGACCCTCGATTCTGAACACCGCCGCTGCATACACGCCTTCCGTGCAGAAAAAGTGCGCAAGCCGCTGAAGATCTGGACTGAGATGGGGATGATAGACTTGCCGGATCATCAATCGATCACGGGGTGCGAGCGATGCTTCGCTGAGGGCTCTTTCCTCCAGAAAACTCATGGCAATGGCGATGGAGACAGAGAGGCAGAGAGGGAGCAAGAGGAAGAGGGGGATCGTTGAGGGCCGTTGTCTTCGGCTTCCTCAGAAGGAGAGATCGAGGGAGAAGGAGACGGAGCAGAGGGGAGGAGGCGAAGATAGGACACGTGGTGTGTGATCGGGGTGGCCGATCGGCTGCCAGAGGCTTCCGGGGCGAGACGCACAGTGTCCACGCCGTTGGGGCCGAGCTCGATCACGCGATATCGCCCGAAGAATCGTAGCGCTAGCTTACCTTGGTGAGCACATTTCCTCAGCTGCACCACGTCCCCCAATTTGTACTGGGGTCGTGGACCCGCATTCCCATTTTGGGCCTCGTAGCTCCTTACTTGTCGGCCTTGGGCTAGTTCGGTCATTTTCTGTCGTTTTCGGGCTAGCCTGGGCAGTGACCGTTCCATTACCTCTAGGTGTCATTTGGCCTTGTCCCTAGTCGTGGCCTTGGTGGGACGTCGGTTCACTGTAGACTCGTCCGGGAAGCTTGGTATTGAAACGCAAGCGACGCTATTGGTCCTTAATTGGAAGGGGCTCAGCCCCGTCGATTCGTGGGGCGTTCCGCTATGGACCGCCAGGATGTGATCGACGATATCGGGCCAGGGTCTCGGATCCCGTGCCGCGATGTTACGTCGCAACGCTGTCTTTATCACCCGGTTAGCGTTTTCGACCAGTCCATTGGATTGGGACATATGGGGTGCAGTGTTACGTATGGCGACGCCATGTAGGACCAGATTCCTTAGTACTTCTCCCCTGAATTCAGCTCCGTTGTCGGTCAGGATTTCTTCCGTATCCTGATGCATCCCGAGGAAACGGTTGACATACCACGCGATTTCCGTGGCTTGCCGCGTGCGACAAGGATACGCTTCGATCCATTTCAAGCAATGGTCAACAAATACCAATAGGATTGAATATTCGCAGCTATTAGGGCCAGGGGGGCACCACTATGTCGGTAGTGTCCATGCTCACTCTTTGAAATGACCGTTCAACAACTGTGGGCACTATCGATCTTGGCGGCTGAATCGGCGCCTTGTCAGCGGCACAGACCTGACAGTTGGCGAGAATGTATTTCACATCGTCGCGGATATTGGACCAATACCACTCATTTTTGTCGATAGTGGACTCCGTGATTCGTACAGCAAAATGAGCCGCAATTTCCTCGTGGGCTGTCTTAACCCAGTCGTACCGCATGAACGGATGCGGCACTACCATCCAAATCCCACTACCGTCCGTTTTCCGTTTTCTAATCTACCCTCTATCCATCGATAATCCCGAGCCCTTTCGTTGGCCCTCCTCCGATCTTCCTTAGTGAAATCCTGGAGGGGGTTACCTACTAGGGTGGCAATCAAGACAATATCCGTCCATACTTCGACCCTTCTAAACTTCCGGGTCTTTTCCAATCCTTCTGACGTGGCACCCAAAAAGCGAGCCTCGGTCGGAATCTTGTTGGTCCGGCACAAGGGGCACAACCACGGTTTACTATTGTTTCTGTATTGGATGCACGAGCCATGGGCTCGTGCGACGCACTGTCGACAATCTATCCAATTGACATACCCTTCTCCGTTAGGACACGTGGAGACTGAGTATACGTGGGAGATGGCTTCGCAAAAATAACAAAATTTGTCAGGCAGGGAGAGGAGAGACGAAGAGGAAGGGGGGGAGAGAGGGATAGTGGGGTTACCTCCGTCACCCATCGCCACCGTTTTGTTTCTTGCCACGTGGGAGGACTGACACTTGTCCGTACTTAGGCTCATTGGTCAGGTCCGGCTCCTTCCACGGTGTAATTTTCTCGCCCTTTGGTACCTTGACAGGTCGGTGAAGACGTGTCAGCCCATCCGCGTTGCCAGGCCGTTCTGTCTTTCGATGGACGATATCGAAGTCGTATTCTTGGAGTCGCACCACCCAACGGCCAATCATCCCCGTGTAGTTGGTGAGTTTCTTCAACGCTAGCAGAGACTCGTGATCCGTTACGAGGCGAAACTTTTGTCCGTAGAGATACGGATGGAAGTGCTGGATTCCCCAAACTACCGCATAACACTCGCCTTGAGGTGCGGCGTCGTTTCTTCGTTCATCCGGTACGGTTCGAGACGCGTACTCGATGACGTGTTCGCGACCATCGTTCCCCTTCTGTGCTAGAATAGCGGAAATAGCTTCGGGTTGCCAGTCCGTGATGAGAATGAACTGCTTCGAGGGGTCCGGCCAAATCAAAATAGGGGTCGTTGCCAGAGCGTCTTTGAGGGTTGCAAAGGCCTGCTGGCACTCCGCGTCCCAACTGAGAGGTTGGTCCTTCCGTAACAGGTTCGTTAGCGGTTGTGCGATCGCGGCAAAGCCCTTGATGAAGCGTCGGTAGTACGACGCCAGTCCCAAAAAGGCTCGAACCTGCGTCAGTGACGTGGGAAACGGGGCTTCCTTCACCGCCGCAACTTTTATCGAGTCCGGCCGCAATCCTCCGCGTGTCACGACGTAGCCCAAGAACGAAATTTCCGAGAGGAAAAAGTCGCTCTTCTCGAGCGCAATCTTAAACCCAGCGTTTCTTAGTGCGCCCAATGTCCATTCAATATTTTGCGCGTGCCCGTGATAGGTTTCCAAATAGACCAGGATATTGTCCATATACACGATCACGCAGAAGTTAATCATCCCTTGCGTCAGCCGTGTCTTGTTGACGAAATTCTGGAACGTCATGTTCATTGCTCGCTGAAACATGGCAGGTGCATTGCAAATCCCCAACGGACATCGAACCCCCTGCCACGTGCCCTCAAACAACACAAAGGCCGTTTTCGATCGATCTTCTTCCCTTACCAGAATATGATGGAAGCCATGCCGAATATCAAACTTGCTGAAATAATTAGCGCACCCAATCGCATCCAACAGATCATCAATCCGGGGGAGGGGATACACATCTTTGATCGTGATTTCATTCAACTTGCGATAATCAATGCAAATGCGAATCGCCTTGTTTTTCTTCGACACTAATACTATGGGAAAGGACCAAGGTCCGTAGCAGGTTCAATCCAACCACTGGCTTCAAACTTTTGAATTCGTTCGAGAGCCTTTTTGCGTTCAATCAAGGAATAGCGATAAGGTTTACAATGAATTGGGGAGTGATTTTTTGTCTGAATTTCATGTTGAATTACTAATCACAACCCGATGTCAGTGTCTGACACACTAATTGCTACATGGTATTCCGTTAGAATATCCGCAATCACCCGGTGGATTTCATTCGGCACATATTGTGGAACGTGCAGTTCGAAAAGTTGGTCCCAGATCCGAACGTTAATTTGTTTCGTGTTCGCCTGTTTTGTCGAATCGGGTGGAGGCACCGAGATGAATGAATGATCCGATCGCCAGGAGAATACCGTGACCATCATCTGAGCATCTTCTTCTCGGATTGCCACGTGTCCTTCCGGGGTAATCCCGTCACAAACATCCTTTCATGGTACTTCCTTAGTTGTGATTTTTATCCCCAGTCCGTCTATTTCTGCTTCAACACGCCCAGGGGTTTCCAGAGAGTTTGCTTCCGCCCCCAAGCGTAACAATCTCACTTCTTTGGCCGAGGTTAGTAAGGACTTGGGTAGATCCGTAATATCACAGTAATCCTTCTTGTCGCCGTACCGGGCGAGGAGAGGGGTGATCTCTTCGTACAGAGTTTGAGGGGGTTCCAAAGAATCGACCATCCTCGAAATCTGCACGAGGGGCTCGCCTAAGATCATCGCCTTGGTCCTTTGAATTTTTCGGCTGGTCAAGTGCATCGTTTTTGCTATCGTTTTGGGCGGCGGGTAGTAAACACGTTTTAGTACCAATTTCAAGATCTCCAGATTATCTTCGTCACTGCTTTCTGCATCATCAGTTGATGGTTTCGCTTCTGCGGGTTCGTCCCAGGGGATCATGCGGAGAGTCCCTGCCATCATCGACGAAAACCGCGGAACCGCATTAATAGTAATGCGAAGGGTCAATCGCATGGGCACAGCGTAGGGTTTTTCTCCTGTATTTCGGAGGACGATCGATCGTCGTTCGAAATCAAGGTTTGCTCGTAACGCCACAAGAGCAGGAAGTCCAAAAAGAAAGTCGTACGTATTAACATCTAGTACTACGACATCCCCAAGCGCATGTACTTTTCCTAATCGGAAGGCGACGTTGGTCATTCTCCCCACAGTTTTAATCTTTTCCTCATCTGCCGAAACGAGCTGATCTTTCTCAGTGAGCATGATCAGATCGTTTTTCATGCCTGCCCTTTCGACCACTCTCAGTGAAATAGCCAACACAGTTGCTCCCGAGTCTATAATTGCGTTGTAAGAATTTCCCCAAATTTCTATATCGCACTCAGCGGATTTCCACAGAATGGGTTTAATCCGTAAAAAATGATCGTCTTTCTGAATTAATCCTAACCGTATCGGATCCGGAGTGTTTGTTGGGTCTTCTTCCGGCGCGGGGCCTTTGGCTTTTACATTCGGTGCTCGGGCGAGGGCGAATCGCTTTCGATTCGCTTTGCAATTCTGTAACATTCGCTCGTTGGCTTGCTCGGAGATCGAGAGTAGGTGACCGATCGGAAGGGGAATCCGATGGTCCAAAGCTCGGATGATGTTTAATACATCGATCTCCCATGTGATGAAGGTGGGTCCTCCCGACTCCATCTCTCCTAAGGACGGTCGCCACTCCGCCACCTCTTTTGGTTCTGGCGCTGGTCTGATTGTTCCGATCATTCCTAGCCCAGGATATCCCAGCGATACGTATGGATCTAGCAGAATTAGCTCGGCGGCCTCTTCCGTGGTGGCCAGGGCACTTCCCCCGCCTTCTACTTCTTCCATCAAGGCTCCGACTCGTCTTGGTCTGTTGGTGATGGGGGCCGCAGCCATAGGTGCGACTCCGATCCCCTGTTGTGGGGGTCGGTGGGGGCGATCACAGGCTAGATGTCCGGGCTGATGACAGGCGTAGCAAACATTCAGATTGTTTGCAGCTCCTCCGAGGGCAGGGGCAGGGGCTAATCCTTGTTGCATCGGAGGGGCACGCACCGCAATAGGTCGCATGTTCCTCATCATGGCTTCCAGTCGAGCATTGTGCTCTCGCTGCTCCTTTTTGCTTTCTTGGATCAAACTAATCAAAGTTTTGGTTAGTTCGAAAATGGCCGCCGATTCGTTCGATCGTACAGGAGCCTCTACCGGCGGCGGTGGTAATGCCCTGACGGGCGGGGGCATCATAGTAGCAGAGATGCTCGGAGTCTCACTTAGGATTACTCGTTTGGGGCCTATCTGTTGCATATAGGTGACATGTCCTGATACGAACCTCATATTTTCAAATTTGTTTTGTAAGGAAGCGCCAGCTCTGCTCTTGCTCAAGCGAGCTTGGTCGAATCTCCGTCTCTAGGGTAATCTTCTCCTTCCAGGAAGTTCGCCGTGAACTTTCGTTCCATTTCTTCCGCAGCAGCCATAATTTGTTGTAGCGTATGGGTGATGGGGGAAAACTGCTTTCGCAACTTAGCCCTTATTGTTCGACTGCGGAGTCCGTCAATGAACAGATTTCTCCCTACTTGCTCACCTCGCTCAGTTTTTACGAACATTCTTTAGAACCGGTTTCGATATTCCGCGACGGATTCGAGCGTTTTTTGTACTCGATCCTTGATCATGTACAGCGCTTGCTCAGGGTGGACATAATCGAATTGGTTAAAAAAGTCCCGCTCGAAGGTCGGGAGATCCACCCATACATAGGTACTATAACAATGATGAGCGTCTCCTCCCATTCGAGCCAGAATGTTGATCTGTGTTTCGTGATCATCATACTGCTGTGCTCTGAGTGTGGCCAGCTATGCTCCTGCGAGATGGTGCGCTGGATCAAATAGATAGAGATCTGGTGGTGACATGGGAGCTCCTGCACGTGGAGCAGGTTGATTAGGTGGATTAACATTTTGTTGCGGAACTAAATTTTGCACGTTGGCAACCATATTGGCTGCTTGTCGGTTAGCCGATCTGCTTCTGGTGACGATAGGGTCGTGTCTATGCTCGTTCCGAGGGCGAGGTCGCCCATGGTTAGCCAGGTCTCCTAATTAACGTGCTATCAATCCTAAGGCCCTAGCCACGTGTCGGGCTCCGATACCAACCTCACGCCCTGCGCGACTTCCTGATCGGAGTGGGATGTGGGCCTGGAAGTGCGAAAAGGGGTGTGCCAAGGATTTTTGGGGAAAGTGGGG